CGTCTTATTTCCTCCTCCGAAACTTCTGCAACGAGGTCGCTATTCATTTCCGCAGTCACTTTCGCCTCCAACGGGAGAGCCGCAACCCGATCTCGAATTCCCCGGACATCCGCCTCCGCGGTAAACAAATGCTGGAAAAAATTCACCGCCACCTCCTCCTTCTCTGGTTCCTCCGTAGCCCAGGAACCGTCGTCCCTTAACTTTTCCACAAAGTTTCTTTTTCTCCTGGCTCGGGTCACTGTATGGAAATACGAGGAATTCTGATCCCCAGTCCTTAACCAATGCACCCTCGACTTCTGCTTCCAATGCATCTCTTCCACAGCCCATTGCAAGGTGAGATCTCTCTCCAATTGATTAATCCGATCCCAATTCACCGGGGATTCCTCCTTTAAAGCCCCAATCTCGGCCTGAAGGACCCGAATCTGACGTTCAGAGTTCGTGGTCCCCGCCTTGCTCCATTGGAAAAGAAGATGCCGCAGTTTTTTGAGCCGAGCCCACAATTGGAACATCGCCGACCCCTGGACCGGTTCATTCCACACATTTTCCACCATCGGGCGAACCTCAACATTATCCGCCCACCTAGCGTCAAAGCGAAACAGCCTCTTCCCTGAGCACGCGAATGGTTTGTCCGCCACAATCAGGCCTTTGTGATCCGATCCAAGATCAGTGCCGTGAATCACCAGGGAATCGGGAAAAGAGTGCAACCAGCCATCAGAAGCCAAGCCCCTGTCCAACCGAACCTGGATGCAGGCATCCCCCATCCGCCTATTCGTCCAAGTAAAAGGGTTTCCAGAGAAACCAAGGTCATGAAGCCCCAATACATCCACAAATTCCCGAAAAGGTTGCGAGTGCACTGGGTTCCAAGATCGCCCTCCCACTTTTTCATTAGAGGCCAAGATATCATTAAAATCGCCCACCACCAAATATGGTAACCCAAGATCGGCGCAAAACCGTCGCAAATCGACAAACTGCACAATCCTCTCAACCTCACGACAGCTCATGTAAACAAAGACCACACAAAATTTTATTCCATCCTTTTCGACACAAACCGAAATAAAAAAACGAAGAACTACAAATCACCGAGACCGAAAGCTCGGGGGACCAACCCACTGCCAACCCTCCTGCAGAATCAACAGCATCGACTAAGAAAAAATAAAAAAAACCTAATCCCCGCAAACGACGAGACACAACCTTACGTCGCGAACGGGTTTCGGAAAAGAAAACAATCTCAGGATTATTCGACCGAACTACGCCTAGGATAGACTGAAACGTGAGGGATGGCCCAATTCCCCTCACGTTCCAGGCGAGAAGCCTCATTTGGCTACATGGGGCCGCTCAAGGCCGGCTTCCTCCACCTTTTCAAAGTTTCCATTTTTTTCCCCATTCTCGTCCCCACTTGGAACTGCTTGAGGCCGCGCCTCCTCCATCGGATCATCAAGACATAGTTTTTTAACTGGAGTAGGATCCTTAGCAAGGTCTTCAACAATGTCCACCGTTCTCTTCCTGTCTCCCATCTCCTCGTCCGACGGCGCCACCATCCGGAAAGCAACCTGTTTAGTAGGAGGCGGGGAGCCCCCCATTTCCCCAGACATCCCCTCCGAATCCCCACCTGCTGCCTCTGTTCCCACCTGTGGAGATACTTCCTCCCCAACCGACACACCTTCCTTCCCTTGGCCCTCCTCCCCCCTCGAAGCATCAGATCCCAGCTTCCCTCCCTTCACTGCTTCCTTTGCCCCTACAGCCTCTCGATCACCACCATTGTCCTTGCTTTTCCCCTCATTTTTATTCAGCAGCTCGCCCCTCATCTTCAAGACCACCTTCGGTTTTGATTGCACTTTCGAACCACCAGCTGTGGTTTTAACCTCGCCTCGTGCCTTCCCCGAATTCGGTTGAGCCACCTGTTTCCCTTTCCCCTCCTTCTGCCCGCCTCCAGACGACTTGTCTCCAAGCCTCTGCTTCGCACTATCCACTGCTGCCCCCTTCCCTTTCAGGTTAGCTTTAGCAGCCCCTGCATCACGATCTCCTCCCACCACAGCCTTCGAGCTCCTGCCCTCCCATTTGTGAGCCTCCGCTTTCGTCCCCTGCCCTTGTATATCAGCCCCGGACGCCTTCCCCTGCTGCTTCGCTGGCCTCTTCCCTGCAGACTTCTCGGCAGCAGGCAGGGCAAGAACAGTCCCCCTGCCCAAGCCACCCTCCACACCCGTATCCTCCATCCTCACATCCTGATCAAGCCCATCGGACCCCTTCCTCTTGCCTAGCGTAGAGGGATTCACCCACACCGATTTCTGAAGCGGCGCACCATATATGGCAGCCAAAGTGCTTTCATTAATCCTGTACCCCGACTCCTTGGTAGAGAGCTCAGGACCGAAATGTTCTTCTCCAGGCGGCGGAGGAAAGGAACAATTCTGGGCAGTGTGCCCGAAACGGCCGCAATGATAGCAGTACAACGGGAGGTGCTCATACACCAAGGTTATCCAGAATTTCCCAACACTGGGATTAGTCGCAAAGAGCTGCGACCAGAGCGCGCCATAACATCAAGCATGGCCCGAGTCTTCACAAAATGTCCTGGAACCCCCTTCAGCCCGAACAGCCCCGCGTCACAAACCGCTCCCAATTTGCTCTCAGCCATCCTTCTCCCGAAAGCCACCGTCCTGCAATGTGAGGGGATACCCCACATCTGGACCCAGAAAGGAACTCTGCCCAGCGCCTCCACCACCGCCGGAGTGATCGGCTCCCAGTTCTGCAGATGCAGAATCCTGTCTTTCACCTGCCACGGAGTCCTGTGAAGAACCCAGTCCTTATCGCGTTCATCTTCAAAGAGGAATTGAAGGAGCCCCAATTCCGCTTCCATCACAGTGACCTTCCCCGAACAACCCCACTCACCATACACAATCTTCTGAATGGTTTTGAGGCTGGGGGATTGTCCATGAACAGCCGCCCAACCAGACTCAATTTCGACCTCTGCATACTTTCTTCCACATCCTCCAGCTCGAATTCAACCACCTGATCCTGGTCCATTGGCTCGTCAGTCATGGCCGCTCTGTTTTCGCGAAGCTGGAAATGACGAGAAAACAGAGTAAACACATGGGCAAAAACCATGAATCCCACATATGGCAAAAGCCAGAGATGGTACAAACGCAGCAAGGTTTTCCAAAACATGATTTGATTACCTCTCGCGTCAGATTTTTGAGAAGAAATTCCCTCCGTTGCCAAAGCTTCACAGAAAGATTGTTTGGGATGATTTTTCTGTTCGCCAGGAAACGAGGTTAAATAAACCCACAGCGGGGCGAGTCTTAGAACCGTTTGAGTACAGGACTCTTTCCCAGGAGTTATCGCTTGCCGAGTATTTCCGAAGCATTCTCCCAGCCTGATCTGGGTATATCCCCAATATTTCCCTTTGGATCTGGATAATTCCAGAAACCTATTTTTTTCGAAATTCGATTTGACAGAGAGAAGCCTTATCGACTCCCAGACTTTTCGAAGGGAATCTTGACTTCCATCTTCCCACGCCTCCTTTCCGATCGTTTCCGTCCCATTTTCCGGCCATCTAGTCGAAGCCGTGTTCTTCCTGGTCTCTGCCATAGAGAACCCAGTGAAGAAGAAAGAGAACACCTTTCGCAGAAAAGAGAAGAGAGAGGGGAGAGCGAATTCCCCCATTTTTTTTTTAGTTCAATCCATCTACACCTTGACAAAAAAAAAATTATTTAGATTTGTTCTCATTTAATTATATTTCTTGAGAGGGAAGGGATTTGTAAGTTAGCGTATTCTCTTTCTGAATCGCTAAATGTCGTCTTTAAAATTGCTAACGGTCGCCCTAACTTTAATGATAAATGACTTATATACCCCCAATAAAATTTTAAAATTTAAACAAACCAAACAATCCCTAACCCCTCAAACTGAACCTCTCATCTGCCTTCTTCGCGAATCCCTCTCGACGCACCAGTTCGTCGGCGTCTTTCCCGCCGTCGTCGTCGCCCGTTCTCTAACGAAATTTCCAAAAAAATGCTCAACCTAAGGCAAGTTACGGTTGGTCCATGGTGCAACCGCAACTCACTTGCGGTTGGTCCATGGTGCAACCGCAAGTGAGTTACGGTTGGCCCATGGTGCAACCGCAAGTGAGCTGCGGTTGGCCCATGGTGCAACCGTAAGTGAGCTGCGGTTGGCCCATGGTGCAACAACAAATGAGCTACGGTTCCCTTTTTTTGTTTTTTTTTTTCAATTTTTTTAGTGAACTTTACCGATTCAGAGTCGCTAGTCATGCTCCAGACATCATATCGCCGATTCCAACTCCAGAATGACGATGATGGATTCTCTCTTTTGAATAATGTTTTATTTTCTTTACTAAGTTGTGTTTGTTTGCTAAAGGAAGAGTAAAGAAGCTAAAAGGTTAAATTTGTAACTTTGATGTTTTTAAAAAAAGATATTTAGCAATTTTAAGGGCGACCTTTAGCAGCTCCCTTCTCTTTTAATCTCTTGATATATCTTCGACAAAAAAAAATTCGTTTCAAACTTTCGGTGGAGCAAGCTTATAATAGGAATTGTTCTAGCAGCAATATAAAGATATAATTCACTACATTCTAGATTCAAACCTTTAGGTCAATTTATTTGCAAGCTAGATACAACTACGGAGGCATCAACAAGTCGGGTATTGAGTATTGACTTTTTAAATACCACTCACATAGCAAACACTATAACATTTTATCTATCTTTTTATCTAAATTTTTATCATTTTGTCTTATCGATTCAGTCACACTAATAACGGGGGAAAATTCATAAATACTCTATTGATAAGCAGACACGAACATAACTTTTCAAACCAAACTACCCATAACACAAATCCAAACTCTATTAGAGATTAGTACTCGAGTTTACATATCTATTTCCTCTAAAACTCATGAGAGGAAATAAAATATTTGGACAAAGTGGCCCAAAACTTCGATGACCGTTTGTGTAATTTAATCCCTAATCACTTTCCTGATTACCTCTATAACCTAGCAATGGACGGAGTTAACCCAGTAGCCAAACAGAACCTAAGATTTCGATATAAACAAAGTCCACCACAGGACAACAACCAGTCCAACAAACAACAACAAAAGAGAAGGAGCGAAGCCAACGAGGCCAGCCATCAGCGATAACCACAAGAAAGCACCCAACTGTACAAAACCAAAAGCCCCTTCCTTTATAAACCCTTCTTTCATTCATTCATCGCACTTCCCCTTTCATCCACCTCCACCATTCTCCTTCTTCGCATCTCTTCTGTGCTTCTGATCTTCCTCTGCAAACAGAAGAAGAAGGAGGAGGAACTTAACCAACAATGGCGTCCATCACAAGAGCTTCCGTCTCCATGCCGTCCCTCTCCACCTCTGTGAACCAGAGCCAGCGGGTAATTCGTTTTTTTCTCTCTTCCAGATCTGAGCTTTACCCTAAAACCCTTCAAGGGTCTCCGTGGATTTCTCTGATTTCGGCGGGATTCCTTTGTAGATTCGATTGAGATCGGCATCTATTTGGGATTAATTTCTTGGGTTTGTTTTTCGTGCAGAGGATCTCGGGGATGAATTCCGTCTCCTTTCCCGTCAGTGGGAGATCGATGATTCCTTCTCTTAGATTGCAACGCGGGCTTCAAGTCTGCTGCGCGGTACGATTTCTTACTCTCCCCATTACCCCCTGAAGATTTTGTGATATGGGAATGTAGGGTCTTTGGATCTAATGTAGCTTATGGAAAATCTGTTGATGGGTTAGTTGGATCGTCTAATTTAATCTTGATATATGTCAATTTCTGTTTCTGGGATTCTGCTGAAGTCTTGGTGGGTGATGGATTTGAGAAGCTGGGTTAGAAATTGGGAATTTGTGGGATTTCTGGCTATGTATTTTCTGTATAGCATCTGATTAATGGAGCCGTGTCATTGACAATTGTTGCCAGGCCAAGCAAGAGACCGTAGACAAAGTGGTTGCCATCGTGAAGAAGCAGCTTGCTCTGCCTGCAGATGCAGCTGTCAATGGAGAGTCTAAGTTTGCTGCTCTTGGAGCTGATTCCCTTGATACTGTAAGTTCTAGCCAATGACTTAATCTCTTACAATGTAGTTAGCTGTGATGCTGTTTTTGTTGTTCATGTGTTGATTCATAATTCGTTTGGGGTTTGTTAGATCGGTCCGTAGGCCGTAGCCATAGCCATATCCATATATATCCTACAGTCTTGTGCTGAATTTATAACCCAACTGAGGGAACAAGCAAAACTGTGGGGTGCAATTGATTTCGAATGATGGCCGAAAAAGAATGGAACTTTGTGTTGCAGCTACTTGTATCTGTCGTTGTTTGGCGCCCATTGCTTTCACCGATTTCTGATGATAAAATGTGTTGTTTTTTCGGCAATGCAGGTTGAGATCGTGATGGGGCTCGAGGAGGAGTTTGACATCACCGTGGAGGAAGAGAGTGCACAGAGCATTACCACAGTCCAAGAGGCTGCTGATATGATCGAGAAGCTCGTTGAGAAGTGAATGAAGCTTTTTGCTTAAGTTATGTCATCAACTGAGTTATGGAGTTGGAGGGGTTTTTTTCTAGTTTCTAAGAAGAATCTTTTTAGTTTGATGCAGTTTCCGAAACGTTTCGGTTGGCTAGTTTGGTCGTCGTGCGCCTGAACTTAAATTATGATACTGTGACAGTTCATGTTTGTTCTTAATGGCTGGATTTCGTTGGACAGCTCATTGGCTCTCTTTTTTTCTTCCTTTACTCACTGGTTTTTAAAGGTCAAGTTTGTTCGCCGATTTGATTCGACTACAGATGTTTGCCCAGCATTGTGGATTCTTTTCGGGTCTGAATTGGTTACCGTACTAACACCTATATAGCTTAGGCATGACAGTCAAACCAAACACAACCGGTATTCGACCAAGTCAACACGGGAATTAATTATCAGTAAAACTGTTAAAAAAATTATGCGGATGAGCAGGGTAAGGTTTTAGGTTTCTCGTCTCATACTCATCCCGTCCCGTCAATAGTATTTCTTCATATATTAAAATATAGGAATTATATTTCAATTTCCCAATGAAAGGAACGGGTGAAATGTAATTGAGTGGCCACTCAAACAAAACACTTACTTTTCCTCCATTCACCCTCTACTATTTCACTTCTTTTTCCCTCGTTAACAAAATTATGTTAGTTATTTACTGCTTAGTTAATGCATCGGAGAGATTAATGACTTGGATAGTATTGTACTTTTTTAAATGAATGTTTTATGATTGGATGCTTTAAATTCGTATTAGGAATGATGATATCATTGTTGATTTCATGACTTATTAAGGTTTGCATGTTGAATAAAGAGGTATGGTAATACTGTTATATACGAGACAGTATTACCCACGGGTACCCTCAAACCATGGGTGTGGGGAATGGGGATGAAGTTGCAAATCTTCTCCACAAGGGGTATGGGGCGGGTATGAGTTTAGTTATTTGTCAAGTACATGACTCATATTCATGGCATACAATATAAACACCCAAACATGAGAAGCGGAGTATAGGAAGGAACCCGTCAAAGAAGTAGTTTGAAAGGAGTCTAGTTGCCCAGGAGCCAGGACTGATGAGGTCAATCGATTAATCAAGTATGCGACCGTAAGCAACCGCCCCCCCCCCCCCCCCCCAAAAGAAATGAACCGACAAACCAAGATGAAAACATAAGGCAAAGGTTGTCTATAATAAATGACGAGGGTAAATGCCACATTTGGCCACTGAGATGACTAAATCATGTCATGTTTAGTCACTAGAAAAAATTAAGATCAATTTTGGTCTCTCGAATTACTGAAACATGTCACATTTAGTCGAGTTGGACAGAGGCTAACGGAGAGTGACTAAATGTGACATGTTTCAGTAATTCGAGTGACATTCATAAAAAAAAAGTAATTCGAGTGACCGGAGTTGGATGGAGGCTGACGAGAGAGTGAATGTGACCGATTTTAGTAATTCGAATGACCAAAATTGATACTAATTTTTTCTAGTTACTAAATATAACACGATTTAGTAATCCCAGTGACCAAATGTGGCATTTAACCTAAATGACGATGTTTGTTTTCAGAACCCCATACTACCGCAAGGTGTTAACACAATAGGTCCAGAGTGGAGAAGAACGTCATGCTCGACACAATAGTCCCGAAGCAAAAGTGTTTGAAATTCAATGTCATTATCTGATCGAATGCTACAAACATGCGTCTGGAATTTAATTCGAACCAACTCGCAAAACAAACGAATGTATTGTTCATCATCGGATTTGTGCTTAAGAAGACAAGCCCAAGTAGCGCAACTATAATCGTCAACCACTGTAAAAAAATAATCTGAACCATCCATGCATGGAGGGGTTCTTGTAACCACCCTAAAGATCCATATGAATGAGCTCAAAACAGCCAAGATTCTTAATAGAACTAGACTGAAAAGGTCTACAAGTTTGATTAGCACGCAAACAAGAATCACAATGCAACTTAAACCAACTGTGTTCTTGATAACTAGGATATTCTTTGAAAATCAAGAGTTCATGAAAAGCCGGATGTCCCAGCTATCCAATCTATGAATCTCTAATAAGTGAAGCCACCAATAAGACATCTTATCTTAGAATTATATACCAACTAATTTAGTTGTCCATCTTACCTAGTGTGTTTAGGCACAAATTTACATTTTTTGGGAGATTTTTAATATGATATTTTAGTCAATATACTAAACATTCATGTTTGATCGTTAACTTGCACGGTACACACCCGAGGGTGCAACGACAGCTCTGAACATGTTCAGACATACTTGAGTTGGCGTTTGAAGATGTTTACGCAGAGCCCACATAGTGATAAATGAATTCATGAGATGGTAGCATCAGAGGTTGAAGAAACAAACGAGCCATGACACATATAAATTGCACCCCGTGATCGAGACATGTCAAGCTTGTCTTACTCGTCTTTACAATAAGCAATTGGTCATTTTAGAACTAACCCTTTTAATGCATCGTTTGTGCACCAGCCGTATAGTAGAGGTAATCGAGGTTATCCCATTGATTAGGCACCCAAAAACACAATCTACTTGGTCGAGAAAATATTGAATTCATGCCTGGCAATTAATTCTAAGTAGTAAGTAATCAATCATACATCATAGTCAAAAATTGCAACTTCCTATACATCTCTCGAGGTAATTAGTAATTACTAAACTCTTGAACCATATAAAAGCTTCACACACGTGTCCTAATCATGACATAAGCTTATGGGGAAAAAACCCAGATCCAAGACTTACCTAAACGACACTATTTTTTATTACCACATCACTCCCTCAAGTCAGAAGAAAATGGCAAGCATGTTTTCAACCCAAATGTTCCCCACCACCTAAATTCAAGATCTTGTTGGTTTCCGCCTCACACATGAGGGGATGTTTCTTTCACCTAATGCGAACAAAACAACTTGACCTGGCGCATCGGCTAAACGACGACACCATTAAAGAAAATACGACAACACTGAAGAATGTTAAGAGCATCTACCGATGAACTTTTACTTACAGTAAAACACACTTGTGACTGAACCACGAACAATGGAAACTCAAGAATCAAGACCTCCATGTTTTTATTAGCAGTAAAGACAAAATTGCAGAGCAGAGTAGGGAGAGTGCCAAGTACGGTGACTCCTTCGAAAATGCAGTGGAAACAGGGAGAGAGCCGAATGGTGGGAAAGAAGAAGGGCCGAAAGCGGCGGCGGGACCTTGTGCGGCGGCGTACTCGTCCGGGTTAGGAGTGCTTGGGTTGGAAGGAATGGTGGGGATGGAAGCCACCGACGGCGACGGCAAGTCGCCGCCGGGGGAGGGCAGCAACGGAGCAATCTCAGGGGAGAGCTCTTCGTAAGGGGAGAGAGGAGGGGAGTCTTCTGGAAAAGATGGAGAAGCTGGGATGATGGTGGATGGTTGAGGAGATGAAGTGGTGGGAGAAGGGAAGAAGAAGATGGTTGCTGAAATCATGAGTAGTGAGAGGAACGAAGAAGAAGAAGAAGAAGAAGAAGAAGCCATTTTTTTGGTGGGTTTTTTGGAGGTGTAATGATGGAAAGCAACTCTCACTTTAAAAAGGAGTAAGGCAGAGTTGGGGGACAGTGGGGAGGAGCCTTTTGGTTTGATTGGAGGCTTTTTGATTTTCTTCTTCAAATGCATTGATGAGTGGGCAATGATGGAAGAAATGCAAGGTTGGCATGTTGAGGAAGGAGACAAAGATCGGGGTGGGTTTTGTTTTGGTGTATTTGTTTGAAGCTAAGATTCTGATCCTAGGATGGTTTAAGTAGTGTGCTGTACTTCAAAGCTCCTAAAAAGATAAAAATGCAGGGGGTCATTTGGATGCAGGTTTTTAATTTGTGGGATTTTGGCTCAAATCACTGGTTCAAAAACCTAGGTTTTTAATTTATGGGATTTGTGTGGGATTTTAAAATAGCTGATCACCATCAGCTATTTCATAATCCCACAATTGTGGGTTTCTGAAATCTCTAATATTTAAAATCTCTCATCATATAATTATTTTCCAAATGAGTGATTTAATTAAAATCCTACACTATGTAGGATTGTGCCCAAATCCCACACCCAAAACCTGCATCCAAATGACCCCCAGAAGTTACTAAAGAGTTGCAAGGATCTGGTAATAGGTACCTTGTAGCAGAAGGGCACTTGTTTTATGAGCACCTGGAACAAGATAATCAAGCAAAAAAGCATAGATCTATGGCTTTAGCCTATCTTACTGGTTAGTGAAGTCAGTGGGAGCTGTGGAAGTAGGGTTGTCAGATCGGTTAACTGAACCGAAACCATTAAAAACTGAAAAATCAATATAGACTGTTTCCCCAAAATCGAAACCGAGTCCGGTAAGGGGCTTATCGGTTTTCGGTTAGAACAAACTGAAAAACCGAAATCCCTGCGCCCTTTGTCATAGCTTCGGTTAGAACAAGGTTCGATTTCTAATCAATTTTTTTGTTTCGGCTGAAACCGGTAAAATACAACCGACTCGAGACCGTAAATCTAAAACAGTTCAGACATAATTTCCATTTTCCCAGCCCCATGTGGAAGTCAACCCCTCAGCATATAAGCAAGAGGCTTTCTACCTCGAAAGTGATTCAATGCTGTGGGGAAATGAATATTAGTTCAAGAGAGATCTCAAAAGAGGGACTCCAGTAAATCTAGATGTTATGTATGCATTAATGGAGATGCTACTAAGTCGAATCAATTCCAAAAGACAAAAGAACTCGAAACAAAGACTGTATAAAGCAAGAAAAGATATAAAGCACTGCAAAAAGCAAAGTCTTTTTAAGCAAAAAAAGGTAATAAATAAATTGCATTGCTTTTCGAGTTGATACAGGGGAATACAATTATCATACAGAAAGAGGCCAAAGCGTCACTATTTCCCAACAGTCGGAACTAACCTGGATCTGCAGATATAGTACACCAATGATTGAACCCTTCGCCAATAATACTGTATCTGGAAGAAAAATGAAACAGAAACAAGTTCAATAAAAGAAGAACATCATATCATCATAATATGAAGTAGTAGGACGGTAAAAAAAAATTAGACCTTCAGTACATCAAAGGTGGCGAGGCAGCCGCTGCAACTCTAACCCAACAAGGGAAGCGGCGTCGGATAGATCACCGCCGGCGGAACTCTTGATCTCTGTAACTATCCCTTGTACCCTCGAGACCTCGGCGATCGATATCGACAGTATCATTGCATGAGACAAGTACTGCCGGCAAGAATAGCAAAGCGCATGCAGAGTCCGGAGCAAAATCAGGCGTGGAACCCCTCTGCGCCATGACTCGAGGATGGTGCTGACCTTCGGCAGGC